ATTGATCCAGAACGTGATTTGACAGGATGTTCTTATTTCCACCAAAATAAAAGCCTGTCATCATTTAGTCACAGGTCAGTCCACACTCGACTAATCCACTTTGTAATGAGATGCACCTTCTCTCTGGTTTCCTCTCACCTTCTGTGCTCCTCTCTGAACTCTGACAACAACCACAGTCGCTTCTCTCATATCAAGCCTTCTTAATTAGTGCCTTTAAGTAAATGCAGCACCATATGTACGACTGAATATTCATGTGGGCACAGAGACGGCTGTCCCTGCTACGGCACGAGTTCCACCATGATTTTACCCTCATTATTTTGACATGCTGACAAAAAGTCACACAGCAGAGAGCAGGAAGGAAAGAGCAAAGTCTCTCCTTGGCAAAAGTTCACTTTCTGACAGCTGAAAACGGAGTGACTAACTTTTTGGGATCTGCACAATTTTATAATTTGTAAATTTCGGTTTTTAGAAATGTCAAATTCAACAAAGTTTAGTTTAACAATATCCTGAATTCATTTAGTTCTGTTCCTTTTAATACATGGAAACTTAAGGATTTTTGTTTTTTAACAATTCTGCCTTCCTGAGTTCCCAAAAGTGTCAACTTCAGTTGAATGTTGATTTAGGGACTCAGGCTGGTGGAACCATTTTAAAGTTGCATAAGTGACTAGAATTGGATTTTCTGGTGCGAATATAGTGTTGAAGGTGAAGGTGGCAGGTTAAAACAAACTGCATGTGTATTTTATATAAGAAATACAACATCCTTTTTTGTGTATGATTTCATATAAATTACTATTTGTATCTGTAATAATGATGTTTTAAGTTAAGTTTTTAACATTATGGGAATAATTGTATCCCCATATTATTATGTAAATTATATGTAAAGTTTCATATTTGATAGAAATGAGCTGCTGTCCACTCTTTTTTACAGAATAGTCAAGATCAGTTTCAGGAGTCAGAATGGCAGCATGGACAGAACAAGCGATGTTGCAAGAGGCAGCAGTAACAAGCAGCAATGTGTGCGTGCGTGTGTGTGTGTGTGGAGGGGGAGTGAATGGAGAAAAAAAACATTTGATTGGTGTCTGTGCTGGGGAAAGGATGTAGGGTGAAGATAGAAAAGCAGAGCAGCTCCAGTGCTGACAGTGCAGCCTGTCCTTCACCTCGCCGCTCCTCTCGCTCTTCAACACCTTCAGCAGCCTTTTGGTTGGATGAGCTCCAAGTGCAGCCAAGGTCAGAAGAGCACTGCCATTCAACACTTGTGTTTGTGTGAGTGTGTGTGTAAGGTAGTGTGTAGGGGAGGGTGTAGGAGAACGGCAGGTAGTTCAGCCTTGTGTGCAAGCACAAACATAAGCCAAGATCTATGTGCGTATTAGTTGCTGTGGCAACTGAAAAATAAAGTAACAAAGGCAGCGGCGTAACAGTTTGCTCATTGTTTCTGTCTTTGTTACACCGCGTTTGACGTGGGGGTGTGTGTTTTCAGGTGCGTAAAGTCACAACATCCTGGTGCACCTACAAACTCACGACATACATCTGTATTTTTACTGTGTCATAAAACATATATCATACAACAGAACTGCAATTCAACAATGATATGATATTAAAAGAACTGTTCTTCAAGGTGCTCATAAATTATTAAAAATTAAATATGCTCTTCAAAACATACTTTATTGAAAGGACTTTTCCAAAATAAGGCAATAAGGCAAAAACGAGAAAAAAATAAAACCAAATCTTCTTAATCATTTCAATTTTATGCTGTTTTATGGACTGGGTAGTTGCGATTGTAATGTCCCATGTCCTTATTGTATGTATTCATGATGTGTCAATACCAGCTGTCACCAGGAAAGGGCGGGATAAACCCTGGACAAATTGCCCAGTCACTGTATGACTAAATATAAAGACAAATAACCATTTACACTCACACACAGTCAGTAAGCATTGGTGTTCAGTGGTAGAATTCTCACCTGCCACGCGAGAGGCCCGGGTTCGATTCCCGGCCAATGCAAACAATTTAAAATGTCCCTGTGGCCCAATCACTTAGAGTTTAAACCCATATGTTGCTGGTTCAACCCCGCCCTTGGATGACATTCTGGCTGCTGTAGTTCCTCAAATTTCCCTTTCAAGTGGTTCCGTAGTGTAATGGTTATGATGCCTGCTTACATATCGACCTTACACGCAGAAGGTCCTGGGTTCAAGCCCCAGAGAAATCACATCATCCCTCGGTGGCTCCAAGAAACGACAACTTCCCTAGTTATACACAGAGCAAACAGGAATGACCGAAGCAAACCCAGACACACGGGGAGATCATACAAACTCTATACAGAATGATCACCCTTTGGATAAAGTAAGAGAAAATGGGATTGGGCTAGCTCACCAATTTTGGTGCATTTAAATGCAATGACGATTAAAGCAGTCGGAGTCATTGCAAAGTAAGAAAGTAGAAGCAAGATAAAGATGCCACGTTCTAATATTCTGGGAACAAGTGTCCAAAACGTTCATATAAAACACGTTCGGACCATGACGGAGGAAATGTGTGCCCAACTCAAAGAGTGTGGCATTTAAACTGTGTTCATAGCAACTCCTGCCAGAAGACAGTCTGCAAACAGACGGTTGGACTTGTCTTAAATCCGTAAAGATAACAAACACTCTTCACCCAAATATGTCCAGTCCTTATAGACACAATGAAAGAAAGCAATGCTAATTACTATGTTTCCATTATACCGAAGAAATGGCTGGAAAAAAATGTCACATAAAACTCCACAAACCTTTTTATTGGCAGAACAAACTGTATCAAACTTCTTCCTGTCGGCGGTTCAGGTTTTTTCCAGGGTGACACAGTACACCAGCCTTCTCTCTAGATATGTTATTACCCAATGGGAAATGTTTATTTCTAGAAATTGAGTGGGGAACACATCTGTATATATAACGAAGACATGCTGGACACCAGGTGTGTTCTATTGACTAAGGGACCTTGAAACTTTCTTATCATTACCTAGAAAGAGTTTATGAATTGTTAGCGGATGATTATTTGTTCCGATAACAGCAGCTGAATCCGATGATGGATTTCTCTTCAGCGGTAAATTAATCTGGCCTTAAAACAGTCCTGTTGTGCCATAAACCATGCTCTGGAGTGGGAGGCCGAGGAGACAGTGGTTTGGCAGACACAGATAAACTGAGTGTTGTCCATCATGCTTCTCTCACACTAGAGGGATTACAGTTGAGGCTAAGTAAGATTTACCATCTCGTTACTTTTTCTTTTTTTTTTCTCCTGTCACCATGAACACATCTCTGCACGAATTATGATTAAAGTGGATATTTTTGTTTGCCTATTTGGTGTCCCTTGATTGTCATTGTATATCCCCTCCAAAAAACAAACAGTGCATATAGAAAAACATCAAAATCGGACCAAATTTGCACCTCACCTTTTTCCTGAGGTCATTTTGGTCCGGCCTTTGGAATTGGCTCCACCGACGTCAAAGCTCTAGACAGTAGTTCATAAACACATGGACAGAGGCAGAAAATGAAATTGAGTCAGACAAAGGAGGAAGAAACATAATAAACAAGCAGAGAAAGAAAGGTTTCAAATATTTTTGGAGTCTGCTGAAAGTTTTCCTCTAATGAACGCACAAGGAGGCGTCTCTGACTTCTCGCAATGAAATATAAAACTCTAATTAGTATTCTCTGCAGTTTGTGCAAAGCAACTGTCAAGGCCACAGAGGAAATATGAAAAGGATGCTTTTGTGGTTTGCTTCATTTGACTCCACGTCCATTGAAATTTGTTCACCTCCACCAGTCAACTAAATGTCTGTGAAGTAATTTGACCTTTGATCCTTTCTGAGCAGAGTTCATTGAGAACAAACCAGCAAGGGTTTTTTAAAGACACAGACTACAGTTGATGTTGGAAAAGAAAGATTCTGCCTTCAGAAACATTTTCACTGTAGTGGGGCCCAGGTTTTAGTCACTATAGTCACCAAACAACCTTTATTCCTATAAATCCTATATTTAGAAATACTTCTTTTAGTAAATAAAGAGTTGCTGTAGAAGAATGAGACATTTCTCCATTTGTTCTTTAGAGGCTAATATGTTTGTTGTTTTAAAGTAGATTTGTTTTGTATTTTGGTTGTATTTTAGTGTGTTCTAAATTTAGACAGGTCTCTAAAAGACCGTTTTTATCTCAATTGGAATTCAGGTTAAATAATGACATGTAATGTAACATTAATGTAAGTTATTTAAAGGGACTCACATAGAACATAGTCAGTTGTTATTTTCAGGTCCTGGAAACTTTGAAGGCAACAGGAAACTAGACTTCAAGTAAGACCTTCAGTACCATACTCTCAAGACACCAGCAGCTCACAAATCAACAAGAGACAAAAAGTAATGGTAATATTAAAATAAAAAACAAGCACAGTTGATGGAGTGGCTCACAGCTGGTATATATCCTGACAGCATCAGCACAAAGACTTCACCTCAGAACATTGATGCAAACGTTACCATTTACACACCTGCAACCAATCACACACATCAAGCAGCAAGAGAGAGAGAGAGAGAGAGGGAGCAGTCTGGGAAAAACATCATAACTCATCTGTGACTCTCTTCAATGTCATTTTCACAATTACAATCTGTCCTGGAAACATGTTTGACTGGTGACCACAAGCTGACCCTCAGGGGGAATGAAAATCATCGAGTTATTATGTACTGTTGCTTAAACCCTTTTTTATTGCTATAACTTAGTCTTAAGGTGCACATATTTAGCGACCTTTGAGCTAATGGGTATGGCTCCTTGATGTCTAAATGAAATGGTAATTCCATGCCGTGGTGAATAAAACACAAAGGTCTGATCACTGCTGAATTCTTTACACACCTGTTTAACAGACCTGTTCTGAACAGAAGGGATTTTATGCCTTTACCTTTTAATGGTAATGAGCTACTGGGTTAGCACTAACAGCAGTTTAGTTGTAAAGGATGTATTGGAGACATAACAAAATCAAGATTTTAGGATTACCAGGATTAGGCTAAAGAAGGCTATAGTGAGGTAGTCTGGTTATTGTTAACATAACATATTATACTGTGAAATGATAAGATAAATATAAAATATTCATGTTAAGATTTGTATAAATTGTTTTAATGAAAATCAACAACTTTGAACAACTCTTTTCATGCCAATCCTGTTTGTGTTTGTTGGTGTTTGATGGCTCAATGTTGTGCTATTGCACTTTTGAGGCTGGATTCTTAACCCCATACCCACAGTTTACTGACTGATCTATAGATGAACTTTCGGGTCTGATGTTTTTATCTCTTTTATATATTATAATTTCTTTTGTCTTGCTCCCTTTTACACCCACAAAACAACGATATAACCAGATTTAAATAAAGACGTAATGACTAAGAATACAATGACCCTAATCTAATATGAACAATATTGGTTCAATGACACACACACCCCACCAAACAGATATGGTGATTCTAAACTAAAGCAATAAATAAATCATAGTATTTTTGCTCCAATTCTAATAATTAGAATCATGAATATACTACGGATTTTAATACCGACCTTGAAATGTTTCATTTATATCACCTTTTTAATGAGGTCACACAGTGTCTTATTCATTAGGACTTTATATACAAACTGCCAGTCCTTAAAATGTTATCTCCTCGGTCATATTTATGGTCCCTATGATCCAGTGTATAAACCAAGGCAACTGAAAGTACCATAAACCAAGTCCTAGCTGAAAAGTAACATGTAGTACAACATACAGTAACTAAATTCCTAGAGTGCAGATGTCTAAGTTAAGTTCATGTCACATGTCTTTGTGTTTACATTCTTTATTGTCTTTATAATGAGTAATATTGAATAAAAAAAGCTTTAATAAAATAATAATAAAAACAAAAACAAAATAAAATAAAAGTCCAAACGTGGATTGGCTTCATACTGTACGCTGTGCAGCTGAACTCATTGATCTCTGGTTGTTTCACAGAGCAAAAAAAATCAATATTTGTCATTCTGTATGTCAGGAGTAGTAGGAAACAAAGCCATTACATTGTGTGTGGAATTCCAAGATGATGACATTTCTGCCATGATTACTGTCTCTGGATACAACCGTATCAATTTCAAACGATGATGTTTCTGTTTTAAATTCAGATTAATTTAACTCAGGGGTGATCAGTAGATATGTTGTGTTCTACTAATATATCACAAAGGAAATCCTGACTTATTTGAATAAATAAAAAAATATAATTTTATAGTGTGTTGTAGTGACCATATGCTGTAAGAACTGAATTGTATCGTGCCATACTTGCACTTAATCAGTACCCCTGCTCCCAAAATAAAGCCAAAAAAATGTGGACACCTCTGATTTAACTGGACCCGATCGAGTATGTTTTTATACACAAGGCCTTTGTGTTAACAACATACACAAGGAAAGGTGTAAAAAAAACAGGTAATAAAACAGATGTAAAGACATACAGTCACTATTGTCCCATCATTGCTATAACCCACAGCTGTCTTCATCTCATTCACTCCTAAATGTCATTCTTAGCTCCATCTTCTCCTTGAGGATCGAGCCTGGTCGACCATAGAGCACTTCATCACCCAGTCAGCTCCACACAACAATACTCTCGTTTTCACAGCCTTGAGCTGTCAATGCATCAGCCCGCAAATAAATAAGTAATGGGGGTGTGTATTTGCATGGTAGGCTGAGATGTTTTCCACCTTGACGAGCCCTAGGGGAAACAGTAGCAAACCCGTCCTGGTATGGAGCTCCTCTAATTAGCCACTGTCCATCATCACACAAACCTCTGTATCGCGCTGCACACTCAGGGAAATATGGGTTACTGGCACAGTAGCACCCCACCCACCTCCACCTCCAGCACTGCCACCGTAATGTTGCCTCCTAGTATACAAGAATTCCGAGGCATGCTCCAGGGCAACAGTTAATTAGCAGCTAGTGAATGGCATCCTCCCGCTCTGGGTCCACATCATCCCATGTCTAGGGAGACGTACACCTCCACACAGACCCACACTAACCTGCACCTCCACTCAAACTGGCAGACATTAACCTCCTTTCTCCTTTAATACATTTATACTTTTTAACATTGCCATGGTCATTAACATCCATCCATGGGTGTGTGTCCTCATCTATGTCTTCACGGCTGAGTGTGTTGGTTTTGACATATTTGGTAGTGCATTTTTATTCAGTACACTGACATAGGAATACTGCATGCAAACCATTTCCCTGAGGGGAAAATTAAAAAAGCACCAACAATCCAACCAGCTGATAAACCAGCCAATTAACCAACTCATCGACTGATTGACTGACTGACCGACTGACTGACCGACTGACTGACTGACCGACCGACTGAGTGACTGACTGACTGACCGACTGACTGACTGACTGACTGACTGACTGACTGACCGACCGACCGACCAAACAAACAAACATTTCCACATGAAATACAGAAAAATGCATGTACTGTGTAATCATGAATATACAAATCTATATATCTATAATCTATATACAGTATATCTATATTAAAAATAGTAATAATACTAATAGAAATCAAAAGCACTTGCACAATTATAACAATAATAATAGTAATAAGGTAGCAGCCACGCAGTAGGAGAAAAAACAGACCTTTCTCTATTTTTGTTTTTTTGGACTGAATTCCACCATGTAATTTGATCATATATACAAAATAGCTTTACAATACCTGCTGTTGTTTGCCTCTCTGTTCCAGCAATATACCGAAAAATCAATACACAGCTCTACTGTAATAATCCAATAAAAGTAAATAAAAGTACAAGTCAATATAAAAGGGGTCGAATAAACTTTCAAAGAGATTAGAAACGACAGGCACTTTCAACAGAAGAACTGACACCACAACTGTGATTTATCCACAAACATGATTGTTTCTACTCTGAAGACATGCCCAGCCATAACCTGTTACTAATCACGCAGAAAGTTCACTCCTGTGTCATGTCTGCTGACTTCATTAATGCCTCAGATCCACATCTCAGATTTCTGTTTCCATGGCCTTTAACCATCGGGGTCCACTTCACACCACGTACTGTAGCTGAGGGACACAGACGTTCATGTTAATGGAGCTGGATGATTGGCTCTCTCTCTCTCCCCCCTTTGTCTCTCCCTCTCTCTCTCATTACTCGTCTCTTGAGTCCCTCATTTGTTTCACATGCTCTTCATAAGAAACAATAAACTGACCCCTTTCTCCTCACCCCGGGTGCTTCCTCCAGGGAGACGCAGGGCCTCTGAAAGACAGATGTGTGCGAAGCACTGAAAAGGAGTGTATTACTGAGAGGCTCCCACTAATTAAGCATGCGTGTGTGAGTGTGTATAATAGTCTGGCCCTGATAAGTGTTTGTGTAAATGTGATCACATGTGTGAGTGTCTGTGATCCGTTTTCAATTAGTCCCTCGTAGCTCCGAGGCATGACAAATGTTTTGGTGGGCTGACTCCTCAGTTGATGCTGCTGAAAGGACCTCCATCTGCTGCGGGGGGATTACAATGAAGCTGGACGGTCCGAAACAGAGGAGCGCGGCGCTGACTAAAGGACACCAGCATCAATAGGTTGATAGCAGCGGGGGATGAAGGGCTATTAGGGACAAATTGTGCTGCAGGGTCATAAGAGAGACATAGTGAGATTGTTAGTGATGTGGTCCAACAGCTGGAGCACCGTAAGTAAAGTGCACAGACACGTTCATGAGGATTTTGAAACGTGTGTTCACTGCAGAATGTGTTTTAATACCAGGCAAGTTTTGTTTGTAAAAAAAAAAAAAAGTATTTTCAAATGTTTAATGTACCCCATTCTGTCATCTCTCCAAAGAAGTGTCATATGTAAAACCGTAGTCGTATTAAATCAGAATAACCCCCGTCCAAGGCTGTTTTTAATTTAAGGCTCTGACATTGGTTTCGTTGTTTTAGTTACTACATTAAAATAAACATCAGAACACTGACAGTCCATTCAAAATTGCTATGGATGTATAAACAAATCCAAACCAAGAATCCAATCTAAATTATTTGTTATTTTAAGTCAGAATTCTCTCTAATGTTCAGTTCCTTTGACTGTGGAACATTCCTGGGGTTAGAGTTGCTGGAACTATAGCTTCCATTTTTTGGGATGTATACACGGTAACGTCTTTGCTGCGAAGACTGACCTTGAAAAATGTTGTCAGTCATGTCATGTTCAAGACTGAACTTTTCAGGTTCTTTTTATTTATATATTTTAATTTTTCACCATTTTCAGTTGGTAATTCTATTTTATTTAAGCCTGTGTTGTAGACTGTTTATACACCAAAGGTGTATTTTTAGATTTGTTCGCTGTTTTTAGTACTTGGTCACATGAGGCAGCTGCTTTTACTTTATGCTGCCAATGAGCACTGTTGCCTGATTTAAATGAAACATTGATTTTGCTCAGATTGT